GGGAAAAAAGGAACGACGGAAGGGAGGGAGGGAGGGAGGCAGGGAGGGAGGGAATGAGGACAAGGGTTGGCTGGAGAAAAGCCACCTCGTCTCTCAACGTCACCTCCACCGTCGTCCCGCCCGTCGCCTATCCATCCCCGAGCAGACCTCCTCACCTGCTTGTTCAATGCCTCCAGCTGCTCGAGCAGGTTGACCTCCTCGGCACGCGCTACGGGCACGAAGGGAGGGGCCATGCCCGCAGAGATCCCGCAGGCAGTGGGGAGAAGGAAGGAGAGCGACAAGATCATTTTCGCGAGGTGCTGTTGCAAGGCCCGTGGGGCTTGAAGGAGGTGGGACGGCAAGGAGGGAGGAAGGGAAGGCGGGAGGGAGGTGACCGGATCACCCTGTCTCCTCTCTCCCATGGCCTGAGGGACCAGGGAGGAAGACGTCAGATGCTATGACGCAAGCAAGGTGGAACGGGGCGACCCGATGAAGAAAAAAAAGACAGAAAATCAAGGGTTTTCGAGACGTGACAACGGGTGGTAGTACCTGTGTCCGGCATTCGCCGGGTCTGCGGTCGGCAAGAGGGAGAGTGGAGGGATGGGGCAGGAGGAAGGCGAAGACCGGGGAGGCGGCAAGCAGCAAGAGCGGCAGCACCCACAGGGGTGGAGAAAAATTCATGCCTGCTCTGAAGGTAGTGGGCAAGGATTAGGTGGAGGACGGAGCTCGAGATATGTTGTTGAAAAGCAAGTAGGAAAAAGCCTAGGAAGTGTCAATTACCTTCCACCTCGAGACTCACAGGCAGAGGCGCCAGGTCTTGACCAGGGGAAATATATAAAAAAACCACAAGGATCACGTTTACCTCCCAACATGTCCATTGTTCACTGCACGTCTTTGAAAAGCCTTATAACGATAATCAAGGAGACAAAACCAGGCGTGCCCTCTACTTGAAACTCGGGATCTCTGGGCGAGCGCTGCGGCCTGCGTGCGGCAACTGCCCCGCCTTTGGCGGATAGGCGAAGACCAAAACCAAAAACTAGCGACGCCGCTCCCATCCTCTTTCGTCTTTCTTTAGTTGGTAGAGTGTTTTCCGCTCTCCACGACCGTGGAAAGAAGGCCTTGGTGGTCTGGGACGTTGTTAACCTCCTCCCCAGGTGGTATGTGTGGTTATGCCTCGTCTTTCCGAAGACTGCGGCCTACCCGATGATTTATTGAACTCGATGACGAGCACACCACCCCTTCTTCGATATCTCAAGGTGATCAGCCCGACAGGAGAGTGTACGTATGGACGAGTCATTCACTCCTTCTTGTCCGTCTGTCCACTCCGTCGTCCTTGGAAACGAGTGACCAGTCGTGTGGCCCCATCCGGACCTCCGAGTTATCCCAGCCACAGTGTTAAAAACCTGTCACGCACATCTTTGTAGGAAAAGGAATATGGCGTCCGGGTTTTTCCGAGGCACCACGGCCGATCAAGACGCTCGTTTTGGGAATGCTGAAAAACGCCTTATGAAAAAGATGAAATTTGCGAGCGTAAGTACCCGTGTCATGACAAAGACGATAGAAAGCGTCGGCATGTGTGTGACTATGGATAGGAGCAAGGGGTGACATACAAACCAGGTGAACGAAGCACTTGGATAGCCGTCTCCCTCTCCGACGTCTGTCGGGGCGAATTACCCTTCGTTGACGCGTTATGACCTCTTCTGGCACCCTAGATTCTCTCGGAGAAGGTAGATTTACGCAAGGTAAATATGGACGTGATCAAACGCTGGATTACCGACCAGCTGGTGGAGTTTTTGGGGTTCGAAGAGGAAGTGACCATCGGCCTTGTCATCAACTACTTAGAAAGCGTACGTGCTTGGGAGCATGGGATAGAGGAAAGGGGAGAGGGAGGGACGGATAGAGGGATGGATAGAGGGAGGGAGGGAGGGAGGAGATGGGAGAGGGAGGGAGGAATGAAGGGAGGGAGGAATGAAGGGAGGAAAGAGGGGAGGAAAGTCGGATAGGAACCGCCACCTCTTGTCCACCTTCACCTCCTCCCTCGCTCCCTCCCTCCCTGCCTCCCTCCCTCCCTCCTCCCCTCCCTGTCCCTCAGGACACGGACGCGAAAAAATTGCAACTGCAGTGCACGGAGTTCATTGGAAAAAACAAAGCCTCGACGTTCGTCACGGAACTCTGGGCCTTGTTAGTGGACGCCCAGCGTAACCCCAGCGGGATCCCTACCGCCTTCATCGAAGCCAAGAAGAAGGAGCTGGCGGAGCGGACCCGGAAGGAGGAGGAGGAGGGCGGGGCGGTGGCGGCGGCGATGGAGGCCGCCAAGATGATCAGTGCCCGGCGCCGGGGGGAACGGGAGGGAGAGGAGAAGGTTCGGGC